GTGTGTGTGTAGCTTTGTATATGATTTTCAATCTCTGGTAAAGACTGTTGGGCCACTTATTTGAAATAAGTAGGCTTGCCCTCCACCACAGTCTTTTCTAGCAGCTCCATATGGTAATGAGCTGTATAAGATGAAGAAAATATGTTATTTTGCAACACAAACAACACTACAATGCACTGAAGAAGCCTGGGCATAATCTACTCTCTCAGTTTCAACAACCACAATGACAACAAGTATAAAGGTCGGGTGAAAAATGGAATAATATGCAAATTTGTGTTGCAACATTACATTAAGTATTTCATAGAAATGAAACTCTTTGAGGTGGGGTCATGCAATGCAAATGTGTAAGATGCTAACTCTCTGTGGTGGTCTGGGACCAGCTGTACTGAAAAAAAGGACTCACCGGGTCTTTGGATTTACACAAATTATGCTAGTATATGCAACGCAATTCATTCATATTTCCTCTGTTAACATAATTCAAACAAGTTAACCCCTAAAGAAAATTATGTTGGTTTTACACATTATCATTGTGTGGGACTGATGGTTGATAAACTGAGATAAAAAAAACTAACTGGAAGGCTTGCCTGCCACAGTTACAGGACTGATGAGGTTAAGATGTCCGTCTGTAGTACAGTATATGCAGCATCTCCATTAACGTGAAGATTGCTTTAATCTGCCCAATTTGGTCCATTTATCCACTCCGATATTTAGGTGTGCGAGCTCTGAAGGAGTATAGCACATCTCTTGCAATCCTGCAGGCTTCTTCTTCTTTTATTTTTCTTCCACTGAAATTTTGCCATGCTTAATCATAATCTGATTAACATGTAAGAAAAGTCACAGCTCCCCCAGCAGGCACCCAGCAAGTCAACCAATCCACAAAACACCATGGGCGACCCCCTGAGTGAATTGGCTGGACTGCTGGGGGGGCTGTGACTTTGCAATGAGTATGCGTTTTCTTACGTGTTAATCAAATGTGGTGTCATCTGTATCAATTATTAGACACACCTTTTGCTCCTCTGCCAGTTTGATCCTTGAGAGTGACTGACCTATGGCCACATGACCATGTAACTAACCCACTTACTGTATGTGCATGTTTTTTGTTGGCTGACATATATATGAGCTTGTATGTGATTGGGTGTTTTTAAAGTCTTTTTAAATATCTGTATCATTTATAGGACTTTTTGTTGTGTGTTTTTAAAAGACCCCGTTGAAGGCTCCATGCCGAAACTCATTGGTCTTTTCCTTGAAGTTGCTCAAAACAATACAAGAGTTGCTGGACTTTTTGTTTTCCAAGAAAGTCCAGTTCCCAAACCTTTGCACTTCAAATATACCATGACATAGATGACTGAGAAACTCCATAGTCATCTTTATACTAAACTAAGCTATCTAGCTCCTGGATGTAATCAATCATAAGTATTGTACAGGCAAGGGAGTGTTTTCCATCTCTTCACCCAACTCCCCACAAGAAAGGGAATAAGCTTATTTCTGAATATGTCAGACTATTCATTTGACAGTATTGTTAAGTTTGCCCAGAAGTAATCTATCATTTTACACAATATGTAGGCTAGTCCCTAAATTATTCACAAAGTACCTATAAATTTTTAAATCATTATTTGGTTCTTGATTTCTTATTCACTTGCTTCTTGGTACTGTTATATCATATTGTGAAATGTTGCCAACAAAACAGTTGTAATTGAAGCATAATTTATTTATTAGAGCATACACACTATTTTTTTTAATACTGATTTCTGTTTTATGGCGGAGTATTAGTTATAAAAGGTAATCTGGTCATCTGTACTCCTCACACAGGCGTTTCATCTCTTCCCCCCGCCACCATCATCATCACACACACACACACACACACACACACACAGACAGAGGCACTGTTACAAGTCATCTGCATGTGGATGAAGTCTCATCCATCACAATGTACCACTTGTGATAAAATAATTCACAGATATCCACAGCTACTCAGAAAGCCGGCCAATTAACAGAGACTAGGCGAGATGCAGTTGCTATTACAATCAAATTCGTGCCTGAAGTCCTCCTAATAAACACAGCTGCACCTGCTTATCTCATAGGTCCAGTGGACCATGAGGTTATCCATCAAAACGAGGGGACACTCACCCACTAACAAGGCCTCTGGAAGATTCCAGGACCATGAGGATAGGAGGTCACCACATTTGGGTTTGGTACTGCCACATATAATATGTCTGATCGTTATGTCTACCGGGCTGTGACACATCTGTAAGAAGCAGCAGCAGTTGTTAGCTAATATTCTTGTGTCTGTCCTTTTTCTCACTTTATCTTTTTGCTTGTCTCAAAGCCCACATCTCTGTATAACCTTCTTAGCAGCCTGGCTGTCATATAACCCATGAGTTTGAAAGATAGTCTAGAGAGAAAAGTCTCTTGTTACCAAACTGTCCATTACAGTTATGCATTCCAGCAGTCACTTCTGCATTGTCTATCGTTCACATTTCGGGGTGTGAATGGGGACTGAGCTCAAGGTAACAACTTTACAGAAACAACTAAAAAAGAGCAGGTATGAAAGATGGATTAGGATCATAATCGAGCTCATGGCCTTTACTGTCGTAGCTGTGGCACATCTGCTTTGTGTTTGGCATAAACAGCACAAGAGGTAAGAATCTGCCTTCTCATACATTGTGTCTGTGAAATCACATTTTTTTCCTCCTCACAGATACTGACTCTGCTTACAGTGAAAGAGAAAAGATTTTATTATTCCAAAGCAGATGGTACAAAATGAGACATGCGGGCCCAGCAGCTCAGTGCCCTTCATGCTGCTAATTTAACATTTCTCCTACACTGATCCAACATTAACACCTCACCCCTCGCAGAATATGCATGACTTCACACAGGCTGGTGGCCTGCGTGCGTTCGAACAAATCACCTCGACATGCTATTACCTCCTGCTCTGGAGTTAATTCTTTCCTGTGGATACAATGGCCCTTTCATTTGAGTCTGGAAATTAAACAGGTTTCCAGGTTAATTAATTTGACAGACAGACCCCATTGTGCTGAGTGTCAGCTCAAACAGAAACCTTATTGCCTCTTGTCTTGAAGGTTGACTTTTTATTGTTGTTTGATTCGTCGTTCTTTAGCGGAGCACACAGAGCCAGGCCTGTAATTGACTTGAAGAAGACTACATCAAGTAGACATGTTATTGAATTCTTGACACAAAAGCTCTAGTTTCTCATAGGAGCATATAATATAACTAGTGTGATGCACTGAAATCTACAACTATAGAAACCATGGCTGTATTTGTTTGTTTGGTCAGCAAAAATATTGAACATAAACCTCTCACAGCATAGATTCTCACTCTTCTTTGCTTGTTGCTTCCAACTTCATCCACATAATAAAACTGAAATGGAATTTATCTGAGTGTGTCTGTGTGTGTGTGCATCCGCCTGTATAAATGTGAGGCCGGAGAAAGAGAGGAGATCCAAAAGTCTAATCTCAGTCTAAATCACATCGTCTCCCTGGGGGAAAGGCCCCTCTTCCCGGGGTTAGTCAGTAAATTAAATCACGGTGAGGGCCCCATTTTTCAGAAGTAACCTTTCCGTTGACAGTGAAAGTGGGAGTCAGGCTCTCACCACAGAGTCCGAGCATTGGAATTAGTGTCTTGTACTGCGACACCAGCCTCTTAGGGCATCATTTATAGGGACTGTTGCTGCAGGTTTCCAGCCTGCCAGTCTCAGTGCGCTCACAGTGGAGGAGGCCATCTGCCACATCCCAGCAGTTCCCACACACTTTTCTTAAATGTATTTTTGTGCATCTCATGAATTTTGGCCTCACTGTTATGTATATGCACCCAAAACCACATTATCAGGCTTGGAGCTGGCCATGCACGATTTGCCTTCTGAAAAATATTCATACAATTGGTGGCAGTTAATAGCTATAAATACATTACACTGCAGGATTAGGCTTAAACGAACCTCTGTTCTACTTAATTAATTAGAAATTTGTCCATCCAAGCCTGTAATGTTAACAAGATGTGTTTCAATTAGAGCTCCATTGCCTTTTCTAATCTATTAATTGAACTGAAACAAATGAAGTGAATATGTTCATAAAATGGGATTCTATGCATCATAATCACTTTCTTGATAAAGCAACTCTCCATTTGTTTTTTTTAGTCAGCGATCAAGCTACTTTGCCGCTTTATCTGATTAGTCATTTACTGTTTTGCTGTCATTTTTCAAACACTGCCACCCTGTTTTTGAAATTTGTTGGATGTGTGGCTGCTTGTTTGGAAGCGGTCACTTTCTCAGGTGAGATGGAAATGAAGGCTTACACATGAATTATGCATCTACAGAGTGCTCAGTGGGCATCTTTTCACCCACCAGAATAAATACAGCACAGTCTTTAGCACAGTCTAAGATGTAGCCCACTTTGAATTACACAGAGAAACTCCCTTTTTAAATTAATGCCAGAAATTGCCCAGTGAGTCCCTGGTTAATGCATGCCCACGGAAGCAAATTATCATAATCTGTTTGTTTGTAAAAGCACCATCTGTGCAATTAAATAGTTTGGTGATGATAGTGATTTGTTACAAAGATATGAAGGCTGCTTGTTCCTAAAGGTGTGGTTAATTCTCAGCAGTCTTTGTGCCAGTGAGCATGCCAGCGTGATGAGTGTGCGTGTGTGTGTGTGCGCGCGGTGTGCAGGATGAATCAGGAGAGTCTTCTGAAGCAGTGTTGCCTGGGAGACCAGTCTGGACCCCTCCAAACGTGTCTGTTCCCCTGTCTTCCTCTACCTCTCTCTCTCTCTCTCTCTCTTCCGTTTTAAAGGTGCATCAGTAATGAATCCAAAACTATTTCAGGAAAAGCACTGTTTAGTCGGCGGGGCCGCTCTCTGCTGTGTCTTCATAATGCCACAGATCTCCGTTTCATGCTTGCCACCATCAACATCAAAAGAAAAACAGAGTTTTGTGCGTTTGCTTGCGGGAGGGATAAAGGAAGGTGTGGAGAGAGAGAGAGAGAGAGAGAGAGAGAGAGAGAGAGAGAGAGATTATGAATGTTAAGATGCAGCGCACTCAGAGGAGCAATTGTCTTAATATTGAAGTCTCTTAGTGCATTTGCTCGTCTTGTTTACCTTCTTCTTCAGCTGATGTCTGGAGACACTGGGGGCCAACTTCCTGAAAACCCTGCCATGAAGTGATGTTCTATTTTTGAATGACGTTTCGTAAGGAAAGGGCGCTGAAAACACGGCGCACAGTGAAGCTCTCGCTGTGACTCATTCATTTTGTATAATGCGACCGGTTGCGGCGACAGAGGAAGAGTCGGGGATTTAATTAGCTGGATTTTCTTGGTCCTTTGCTCAGTGAACGCGCATTTGAGCTCGTTTTCCCTTCTTTCTTTCTTTGGAGACTGTGGAGATGATATGAACCCCTGGGAGACAGACACCACAGCCGACCGAGCCATTCCTGCGCTCCTGTGGAGTTGGTCTCAGCAAAAAGAATGTCACCTACTTCTGCCGGTCCTAACATTTAAGTATTGATTTTAAGAGCTAATTCCCGAGATTCATACCATGTTATCTGGAGGAACTGGTGCTGCGGGTTGTGAAGATATGTCAGTTCTTAGCAGCTGCTTTATTCTGTTTCAATTCTTTGGATTAAGCACAAATTGAGAAAATTGGGCCAGCTCATCTGCGGCGGGTGTTCATTTTCTTTAACTGATACATTCTGACTAATGGATGTAGCTTCCTTTCCGACGGAGCTGATTTACGGATAGGGGTTCCACTATTCAACAAGCTGCACCGCTCACTCCTGACAGCAAAGCGATGGGCGCAGTTTGTCTGAGCCATCTGCTGCGTTTTGGTCCTTCAGCCTAGCTTGTTGAATATCCTCCTTGGTGACAAGTATGGATTCATATTAACAAACTCCTCTGCCTTTCTGGTTTTATCATCGGCGGATTGCAGACTCCGTTCTTAGTAAAAGTTGATGATGGCTCCTCCCGGGATGTGCGTGAAGCTGAGCTTTATATGGAGAGCGTTTTGGCTCATGAGGACTGTAGATTTCGCGGTGGCTCAAGAGGCTTATGCGCCCCATTCAATACGGACTGAGGGGCACCTGACCCTCGGTGGACTCTTCCCGGTGCACGCCAGAGGAGCCGACGGCACGCCGTGCGGGGACCTCAAAAGGGAGAACGGCATTCAGCGGCTTGAGGCCATGATGTACGCTTTGGATCAAATAAACCAGGACGAGCAACTCCTACCCAACATTACCTTAGGCGCACGGGTGCTGGACACTTGTTCGAGGGATACCTACGCGCTGGAGCAATCGTTAACTTTCGTCCAAGCTCTGATCACGAAGGACACCTCCGACGTGAGGTGCACCAATGGGGAGCCACCAGTGTTTGTCAAGCCTGAGAAAGTGGTGGGAGTCATCGGAGCCTCGACGAGTTCAGTATCGATTATGGTTGCCAACATCCTACGTCTCTTTCAGGCAAGTCTCTGAGCGTGTGCAATAGTTCGTGGGAATAGTGAAAACAGATAACTGCAGCGTGCGCACGCTTTTTGTAATAATCAGTTTTTAAGAGTAAAAGTGTGTCTCCACACCCATTAACGAGAAGCAGGTGATAATTATGGGATGCCATGAGTGGAAAACAACTAAAAACCTTATATGACAGGGAAAAGATGATATTACATCAAAGATCTGCAATTTTAAGGTAATAGTATCTTTAATTTGTTGGATGTTATGACCAAGTCACACTTAAAGCACCCTTTACCTTCAAGTCTGAAATAAAAGAAAGGCGGATTGAGTTTTGGGTGGCTTTCTGTTCCACTACACTGTGTGGATGAGACAGCTGAGTGTGTTGCTTGTCCCTGGTGGTGCAGAAAGAACTGCTCCCGTCTGTTCAGTCTCACTCCGGAGTCTGGATGAGTGGGCACTGACAGGCTGACACAATCACACCCAAACTTAACAACCACCTCCTGAGAATAACAGGCCTGCTTCATATGATTGCATATGATAATATGAGCCTCTTGTTCAGGAGAATTGCAGGCGTTTTTATGAATCCTTCGGAACCTCAACGCTTTGCTTAATGGTTGAGTTGACTTGCTTTTATCTACAGGGGTCCCCTGTTCAATATTAGCATATTTCAAACTCCCTACTCCCTAATTGAGCTCAGTGGCTGCAAGTAAATGAAATGAATCTGCACCTGCACCACTAATTTCAAAATAGGTTGGGGTTCACTGAAACACATCTCTATTCCTGTTGGCTAAGAGTCAGCTGATAGAGTTGGCCCACTGCTGGTGCTGCAGTGCAATGGGAAGCACAGCAGGGCACCAATACAGTAGATTAAATATTTAAAACATGTCTCCATAGTATAATAGCTGAATACTTTAAATACCATGTTGATACTTTTGCAAATGTGCTGAATTCTATAGTTCTTCTTGTGCGAGGGCTGCAGTGTTAAAGCGAAGGAGCATCACTGGAGCATATTGATTTGTGGTTGCAGAATGTGACTCGGTTGTCGTTTTTCTGATTTGTTTTAGTTTTCACACCTGACTGTACAGAGCTTTTTGGCTGTAACGCCATAAAAGTTATTAATATACTTTTAGCTCCCGACCTTCCTTTTCCTTTTCTTTTCTCACATTTGTGCACAAGCAACAGTCTTGATTTTTGTTTATTTGTTTTACAACAGCCAGACTCCAGGGTTTTGTGGCTCCATTGGCTGGACAATTAGAGCCATGGTCCCCACCACAACCATGACCCTGTCTTTGGTTCCTATTCACTCTCTGTAGGATGAATTAAAACATTACACTTTTTATTATTCCAAGTTGGCAAAACTCTCCAATTAGGCTGAGAAGCATCCTCACAATGCTCATTATTTTGTGTAACACTTCCTTTTTTCAAGCAAGCTGTGCAATATTAACATGAATATATTTGTACAATTTAGAAGTTTTAAGGGAAAAGTGATTACTCCTTAATTCCCTCTCGTCTTTCCTCCACACACCAGGTGCACCAGCATGTCTGGAAGTGTCAAGCTGTGGCAGCGTAGTCCATGAGCGATCTTGCACTGGCGCGCAGGCGTCATAATCAAGTTTGAGGAATCTGTGGGCTGACAGCAGATGCTGTACAGCTCTGTGCGCCATGTTGCATTTTTTTTGCATTTCCTAAAAGGGATGCCAGAAAGATAGATTTAAACATTACAGCCAAATCTGCACACAGAGAGAAAATACACTCAGTCAACCTGTGAACCTGTTTGCCCTTCAGCACATTTATTTTTTCTCTGGTACCAGTAGTGATGTTTGGATTGATAGTAATGATGATAAATTAAATGTGAAGCCACACGATACTGTAGAATCAATACACAGCAGAAGTGAACGCTCCTGGCTCATATACCCTCATTTGTCTTGCAGCATTTGATTAGTGTCTGGTAGCAATTATAGGTTTTTGGGATTGTTGTCAAGTGTAATCAATCAAGTATCAAATGATTCCAGTCATAGGTATCAAAAGCTTGAGCGAACACCTGTGCAGATATAATTAAAGATGCCAAGCTGTTTTACTTTTCTTATTGAGAAAGAGATATCAGATGGGCTCTGGATAAAGTGTCTAATTTCTTGTCTTAGTCAATGTAAATTATATTTGATTATTAACTAAGAAATTTAATGGATGGTGAAGTTAAATGTTTACACCTCAATCCTGCGGACAGAGGCCTTTCCCTGAGTCAGCCTCCTGGCCTACTTACCGCTCTGTTTCAGTGAATATCATCAGGTCATTTGGTGTCTCACCCCTGTGATAAACGAACCATCAGGGAAGCTAAATAGTGATGAGACATTTTATTGCCAGGCGCCAAATATCATTGCTGTCTATTCAGAACATGAGTAGCTGCTGAACTGTTAATGCCGGGAAATTGACATGAGGGATAGATTTTTCTGAGGACCCAGGAGGGTTGATCAATACTGTTGCCATGGTGAGGCCGATTTGCTGCTAAGATGTTTTTATTTCACTGGCTTTCATGCTGTGTTGGAAATGGGAAGCAAGCCTGCCACAGGAGGCGGAAAGAAAAGAAAAACAATCAACCTGAGCTTGGATTGTTACCAGGGGCTATGACGATGTGCACCTTTGAAAAATCATCCAATCCTTAGCTCTGCTCTTGAGCACCCAGTCATTCGTGGCGAGGACTACACTGTAGTTAAAAACACCAGGCAACTTTGTTCAATTGTAAGTCCTGGCCTCTTGAATGAATCATAAAATTGACTTTCATCCAGATGACATTTACATCAGGGAGTACAGATCGCTATTCCCTGTCGTATCTCCTCTCCCCCTAGGTTGAGGCAAAACTTTGTATTGAACTCAGGTGAACTCTGTCTTGTCATCCTGTCTGGGGAAGGGGCCCCTTCAGACTAACTGTCTAAATGAGGCATTGACGTCCTCTGCTCTCACCGCCCTGACAGGCTGCGGTCGGCTTTTTATCTTTCCTTTGTCACAGAATCATCCCAGTGATTGATTTGAAGGAGATTGAAGCCATGCAGTAAGATCTATTCAGGTGACAGTGGTAGAGACAGATACCAGAAGAATATGAAGATTGTGTGTTTGTTACGTAACTGTGAAAGTGACACCAAATAGTCATGTCTTCAATATGTCTGTTTTTTTTATTTAAACATGCTTTTTTTTCCTGGATGCATGCAGCAGCACAGGTCAGATAGTTACATCTCTAGCACTGTGGTAGGAAACAAGCTTGGTATGTCAGGAATGCAGCAGATATACACACACATGCAGCATGTATACAAGGAGCTGTATTGATGAAGGAATGAAAACACAAGTGTCTTGGGGATATTTCATGATGATTTACCCTGTGAATAAAAATGAAAAATGTGACTGAATGTGGACAATGTTAATAAGCTGTCAAATCTAGATGATCTTTAAAAACCCAAGTTATTTACAATAGAAGCAGAGAATTTCTGAATATAAAACTAAATGAGTAATAAAGTTCTGCCTGGCATTCGTAGAGGCACATGCAAATACCCCAGCCCCCCCCCAAAAACCAGCAAAAAAGGAAGATCACAAATCTGCACAAAAACACCAAAAATCACCAATTATATATTATAATGTCACCGTGTCTGTAGAATGAAAGAAAAACTGGAAATCATGCATTCACACACAAGCAGCATGGCAAATTCAAAATGGCTAACATGTTGAGCTACTTAGGTTTTAGTACCCTACTTAGTACCCTTTTCACAAATAGCAAAATAACCTGGCAGACTTTAAATACTTGTTGAATCATCAGTTTACACTAACATATTTATGTTTCTATGTGAGTCGCACTCATTTGCAGGTCACAGCTCAATCAAATTTAACTCTGTGAGAAGTGAACAAGGCAATATTAATTCATGGCAAGCAGCAAATGTGTCTCACCTGCTATGACATGACAGTGATACAATGATACGTTTTGGTGTGAACATATTGCTTAAAATGGGATGCATCTATCTGGTTGGACAGAATAGTAGCAGGGCCCTGAACTGGAGCACCGTGAGCTTGTAAACCAATAACAAGCAAACAGATTTGGTGTTGAAATCAGATTAAACTACAAAAACACCAAGAAAAACAGAAATTCTTTCATGAAATTGCACAATAAGAGCCTATAACTGCTAATTCTTTGTGCAGCATAGACTCTTCTCCAGGAATATGTAACAGATCATTAAACTGAAAGCCTCGTTTTCCAAATTTTACTCCTTTTGTCTTTTTTGAGAGTGATAAAGTTGTGAAGCACCGCTGTTTAATGGAGAAGATATACAGTATATCCACACACAAAAACATGATGCCGTGTGAGCAACTGATGTAATAAAATTAATAAACTATCCCTATGCCAGACGAGTTATCATTGCTGCTGACATGAGGTTATTAGGTCAGCAGTTTGCCACAAGGAGTGTATAAGAAACCATGCACACCTGATATTAAAGTCTTGGACTGTCTCATGAGCCTGGGCCAATGGCATGAATGAATATTAATTTGTATTTAATATATACTGTAGTTTGTGCCTGTGTCATAATTCCACATATAACTGCTAAATAGGGATTTTAATGAGCTGCTATCCCTCATTTACAGGTCTGGTGTTTGGCTTGATAATTACAGCAGCGGGTTATTACTCCTATTTTCTCCCACTGCAATGAACAGGGAAGAGTGCACCTACCTAAAAGCAAACTCCACACACATTAAGGTCACACCGTTGTTCCATCAGCACTTACTGTTGGTACCGTATGACTACAACAAGAATACGATAACAAGAATAGCTTTCTTAGATTGTTTTGGAAGTTTTCTGCAGTTTACTAGGCAAGCAGAAGTAACCAAAGAGGAAACTCCATTATGTCATTATGGGGATGAGGAGAGAAGCATGAGGAGGCCTCTGCTGGCTGCTGGTCAGCCTCTCACTCATCCCTGTCCCTGTTGCTACAAAGTAAAATGATTCAGTATAAGCTGAAAGGTGTTATCACAGGGCT